CAAGCACAGGCAAGACTCCCACATGCCCCCGAAAACCTCCAGACTGGCCCCAATGCCCTGCCCCCCATATCTCTACAACCGCCCAATATAAATCGCAATCTCCTTTGAGCTGTGAGCCCCCCCAGCTCCCAGATACCCCCACAAATACACCCCTGCTCTTCTCTGCAGCCATCCCACCCCTTCCAGTGCCCCTCACTCTTGACCCACAGCCCCCTGCCCTGATAGCGCCCCTCATTTCTGACCTGCAGCCCCCCTGTCCCCACATACCTGGAGCAGGTGCTCCCTCTTGCGTGCTGCCTCGACTTGGTGCTGGGCCTCCCGCAACCGTAGCAGCCCCTGGACCTGCGCCTCGTACAGCTCCGAGCGCCGCCTGGCCCCAACCTGCTCCAGCCCCTCCACAGACCCATTGGCACTGTGGGGCCAGGACACAGGGCATCAGGGGCTGCAGGCTGGCAGTAAGGGGCACCGACACCAGGGAAGGGCATGGGGCTGCAGGCTGGAAGTGAGGTTGCTGGTGCAGGGCTGACGGGGCAGAGGGCTGCAGGTCAGGAGTGAGAGGCACTGTCAGGGCCGGGGGGAGGGAGTGGGGGGCTCACCGGAGGCTGGCCTGGCTCCGGCGGCGGAAGCTTCCCCCAGTGGGGCCGGCGGTCTGGGCACTCTGCTTCTTGTGCAGCGCCGCCAGCTTGCGCACGTGTTTCTTGCGCAGGTCCTTGAGCTCCCGATACTGCTTCTTCAGCAGCTTCACGTAGCCCTTGTGCTGCCGCAGCTCCTCCACCGACTGCGGGGACACGTCTGTGGGGACATGGTGCTGGGGCGCGGCTGGTTCTGGGGTGGGTGCTGGGTGTAACAGGCTGCAGCTGGCTCTGGGAGGGTGCTGGCAGCTGGTTATAACGTGGTGTGGCCAGCTCTGGGGAAAACTGGGTTGGGTATAGGCCGAATCTGAGGTCACTCAGTATAACAAGCTGAGCTGGCTCTGGGGTGGTTATGGACTGGGTATAACAGGCTGCAGCCAGCTCTCGGGGGTGCTGGAGGCTGGGTGTAAATAGGCTGCGGCTGGCTCTGGGGGGTGCTGGGTATAAACGGCTGTGGCTGACTCTGGGGGCGCCAGGGGCTGGGTGTAAGAGGCTGCAGCTAGCTCTGGGGGATGCTGAGTATAACAGTTGTGGCTGGGCCTGGGGGCTCGGGTATCATTACCTGCTAGGACACTGGCAATGAGGTCATCTCTCTGCCCTGTGGGGTGGAAGGGAGTTATTGGGGGTTTGGGGCAGAGACCCCCTGTGTTTGCTGGGGGTCTCCATCACCCCCCCTTACAGCCCCATTATCAGACCCTACACAGCGTGGGACCTCCCCCCATTTGCCCCCACCACCATACCTGGGCTGGCGACACTGGGGGGACCAGTGGGGGGCAGCAGATGCCCCAGCTCCTTGCCCCGCCCCCTCCCCTGAAATCCCTCCCCCCACAGCTCCCCTGCCTGCCTCAGTTTCCCCAGGCAGCTCCCTGCGGCCAGCCTGGCTGGGGCCTACCCTGGTGGTCGTCGGGGATGTAGTCAGTGGCCTCAGTGTAGACCAGCAGCGCGGGCAGGCACAAGGGCTGGTTGCTCTCGCTCCGGAGGCAGATGTAGTGATACCCTGGGAGGGGTATCGTGATTGGGGGGAGAGCAGGGCATTGTGGGAAGGGGACGGCGAGCTGCAGGGGACTGTGGGTAATTCAGGGTGCTGCCCCACCTGTCACCATGGCAACACACGGGGAGGGGGCAAGGCCTTCTGGGATCGGCCCAGCAGTGGCTGCAAAGGATTGTGGGTAACTGGAGCTCACCTTGGTCAGGAGCATTGTGGAAAGGGGGCCAGGAGCTAGCTGCAAAGGATTGTGGGTCATTCCCGCCAGTGCCCCGTATCTCATTACCATGGCAACATGCCTGGGGCTGGCAGCAAAGCATTGTGGGACACTGGCCCCTGCATCTCCCTGCGGCCGTCTTGGCCATGGGCTGGGAGCTGTGCATCGTGGGGAGGGAGCCCCCTGCTCACCAGAGCGGATGGCCGAGATGGGCAGGACCCGGTGGCCCACGAAGCGGCCGCCCTCCTCGAAGACGGCCACGCGCAGGGAGGCCAGCGT